CCGCTACCCCTTTACCGCTATGTCCTACTCAACGCCAGTTTAGAGTGTACTGGGACACTCGAGAATCCTCACTCCAATTACCCTGTTCCTATCGACATTTCCCATACCAATCAAATGACACTGTACCGTTCAGATGTCCAATAGTTTTCCCTGATATTAATGGAAAGAGTCAATTTTTGATTGATGATTGCTGCTAGACAATTACATTTATTATCCCCTTTTAAAAAATTTAGTGTCACGTTTTTTGAAGCCTCATTGCGCTATTTTATCAATATATACTACATATATTATATAAAAAAATATTAAGATCAATTTATGATAATAGAAAAATATCTTGATATTTTTTTTCAATTTTTCGTCTTTCAAATTTGAATAATAATAAATGCGATAATTATTAATGGACAAAATAAGAACTTTTTTATTCATAACGATGACTTAAATAGTCATATCTTCACTTCATTTACAGAAAAATAAACACGAAGATGACGAATTAACTATTTAATAAAAAATAAACTCTCGAGTCAAAATTAAAGAAGGAAAGATGAATCAGTGTTAGGGATAAGATTAAAAGTTATAATAAAATGGAATAATGAAGATAACTCATCATTATTTTCAACTTTTAATCTAGTATTCCAAAAATTAAAAGGTTAAAGTCAAGATTACCGTAAAATTGTCGGCGATTTTACAAATAATTTTTATCCAACTAATTTTTTGGTTACAAAAAAATAAATTTTTCAGCTTGCGATTTTTCTCGTGCTTGCATGACTTGTTTGAGAGAATTTCTCTTTTTTTTCCCCATGTTATGCAGTTTTTGTAAAAAATATGCGACAAAAATTTTTAATTATTTCATAAAACACAATTGCACGGATCGGGAAAAATGAAAATTCATTATTTCATCACGAATAAGAGGAGAAAAAAATGCCTGCGAGTGAGAAATCTCGAACGATGGCACAAAGAAACGAGAGCAAGGACACTAACTCGGGAGAACTGCATATTCTCGACTATTTCTCGGGTCTGGGAGGAAGAGAAAGTGACTCTGGCGAGGGTTGAGATTGAGAGACTGCTGTGACTACGAGAGACGCATGGAGGTGTATACGAGGCGGACGAAATGAGTGAAATGAGCGTGCTGAAAGAGTATGGAGGCGAATAAGTTGGTGGGAAATCGGGGAAAATAATAATGCGGTTGAAAATGCTGAAAGTGCGGAGGCAACGAGAGCACAATGCAGAATCCATCCTTTTATTCCTCTTATCATTTTTTTTAATGCAAAAAATATAATCCAGATTATTCCTTTTTAATTAACGACTCGTGCCGTCATCAAAGGATTTATTATTTCATTTTGAGTTGAAAATGAGTTGGTAATTTCGTAGTGGTGGCGCGATTATTCACGTCCCGTACTCTTATACTGTCCCTGTTCGTGGAATTCGTATTTTTCTAGAGGAGCTGAGCGAGTTGTGCAATATTATGAATTTGTGGTGTTGAAATGTCAATGGGAACAAAAGGTAATTACCTATATGGAGAAAAAGAGTTATTACTAGACCATTTTTGCATCCATGGATGTTTTTTTAACCAAACGAAGCGTAAAATATTCTCCACAAACAGATGTTTTTCGACAAGTGAAAGAAATTATTTCGAAATTTTGTCTATTTTTTCATTTGACAAACTGGAGATGTCATACTGGAGATCATACCCCACCTCATTTCGAGTCCGTGTGCCTCCGAAATTTTTAATTTGTGGACTGTTAATTATTTAATTTTTTCCTTTGTTTAGAGGTTCGGAAAGTCGAAAGATAGCACATAGCATCCTGCTTTCCATGTAATTTATACCTTAAAACATCGAAGGGTTGACCGAGTAAAATAGCCCTGGGGATAATACAGAGGTATTTTTCGACTTGAATCAAGCTTAAAAATCGACTCAAATCAAGCTGAAATTCAACTTGAATCGAGTCGAAAAATCTATTTGAATCAAGTCGAAGTCGACGTGAATCAAGTAGAAAAGTCAACGAGAATCAGGCCGATGTACCGGGTTGCATTTCTCCAAGTCAGACTTGATTTATGCGACGACCCGACATTAAATAAGTCGATTCCCGACATGATTCAGTCCCACTTGATTCAAACCGATTTTTCGATTTAATTCAGGACGATTTTTTGGGTCGATCACTACCCCTATCAAAAAATATTTAAAAAAATATATAACATGGGCCAATTCCATATATTTTTCAAATTTATAAAGAATTTATAAAAGAAATATATAAACCATATATTTTATATATTTTTTTTACACAAATTGCACCAATTAAATTTTTTTTTATATATTTTTTAAAATATATTTTAAAAAATGTCCGTGTGGATAGTCCTGATAAACCGCTATTCTTCGGTTTCATTCTTTCGTTTTCGAGTCCAGTAACATCGAATATCGTGTGTCACACAGCCATAAAAGTATTATCTGCGATTAGCCGCGATTTCGAGATAATTTTTACCCAACTTTTCTCTCTAAGTACATGTTTCATTAGTATAAAAAAAACTGAGTCGATGGTGGGTAGTACGAAAGGTTATGATTTAAGAGATTACAGAGCGATTTGGGTCACTGGTGTACGTAGCAGTAGATATTCCAGGTATTTTGGGTTGATCCGAGGGCAGCTCAGTCGATGGCCGGTGAGGCGGAGGGGAATGGGGGGTGAGCAGAGGATTTATCGTCTCGCGTGTTGCCTAGAAGCCCTCCGTAGGGATAAATCAATCGACTGTGACTTAATTTAGAGCACCGTCGCTGCCGCTCAGCTGTCAGTTTCTAATTTTTTTTCCCCGAGGACGAATATCATTCCCCCGTCAGGTGGTCTTTCCATTTCGTTTGGCAGAGGGAAGATGGGGGTCAAGAGGTCACTGACATTTATATCTGGTTTATGCGGTGACCCCCAGTGACAATAATTTCAGTAAAGCTTGAGGCAGAAGTGATGGCAATTGTAATGAGTGGGAAATTATTTTTGTCTTGATATACACGGGGATATGGGGACGGCGTTATGGGGACGAAAGACAGTGAAATTTTACCTTTCGTACAGTAAAATTAGTCACGATTCAAGAAACTATAAAAATCACTTTCAGGGAAATTTTCAAAAAATTTAAAATTATCAAAATCAACATAATAAATAACCGAATAGAAATATAAAAAATTCGACTCACCTTCTTCATAAAGGACATGACGTTTGTCGGCAACATTTTGAATGTCGAGCGTTGTCTCCTCCAGTGTCTGAAATTCCCGTACAAAACTCCCTCGCGGGATGCCCTTCGTCGCGTTACCGATGCCGATTGCGTCACATAAAAAAAAAAAGCGGACTCTCAACTAGAACTGGCAAATGGAATCACGAGGCGTCGAGTGGAATCGGCCAACACCAGGACGGCAGTTTGACGTCCCGCTGGTGCCCGAGAGCAATCATCTACACTTTTTCACCGTCAATCTCTCTTTCACTTCTTTGTTCCTCTCTATTCCTCTCGTCACAGCGCTCCTTTATATGCTTTCAATTTTTTAATCCCTTCTCAGTGTGGCACTGGCTCCCAGCCGCATTTCCCTGCCTCACATTTCGGGGACAATCCGAGTATCCGGCATCTACCGAGCATCACTTCCGGCTCTCTTGCATTTGAACTTTTCCACGGCAAACCTCTTTTACATTCACTTCCAGTATATTCTTTTGTCCCCTCGTATCCTTCACATTTATGGTTTACCTGGGAACATAGAGCGGTGTGCATTGGTTGAAGTAATGGCCCTCTTTTTTTTCTCTTAAAAAATGTAATGTAAATGTAAAGAAATACGAAAAAATGGGGTTGTTACTTCTTTATTGAGCAGAAAAGGAGTTCAGGGGAATAAAATCTTTGAGAGTGGATTGTCTGTACACGAACATACAGTGAGAGAAAAAAAAAAATTCTGTCGAACAATTATATTAAATAACATACGGTTATAAAAATTATAACATGTAGTTATAAAAATTATATGTTACCCTGCGCTGTTAGAAAAATAATGAAATTTCATGGACAGTTGACTATTAATTTTCAGGACACACAGCAAAAATGAATGTCTGAAATTCAGACAAATTTTCATTTTATTCGGACGTTTTTTAGTGTCTGAAAAATGTCTACGAAAAGTGTCTGAAATTCAAACATTTATTTTGGCTGTGCAATGACAGTAAATGTCATTTAGGGGAAAAAAAATCATGAAATTTCAGGTTTTATTGAAAATTCAGTGAAATTCCAGAATTTTAAGGGGCATAAAGACGAGAATTCCCCAATTTATTTGAATTTATAATCCCATATGAATATTCAGTGCCGAATTATATTAAATTCTCAGTGAAATCTGAAATTTTATTATTTTGTTCACTGTCCTGAAAATTCAAGAATATATTTACCGGAATTTCCTGGTGTTCTATTTATTTTCAGAAAAAAATGGAACTGAAATTTACAGTTATCTTTGATTTCTCCACGAAATTCTAAATTTTCAATGACGAAATTCCTTGAAATTTCAGTGGTAATTAAATTCGATAAAAATTTGTAAAAAGTGAATCAAAAATTACCGCCAAAAATTTTTAACAGTGTGGAGAGATCGTTTCTCGTGTTGAATAAATTTACAACAGTTGGAAGGCTTCTAGCGGTACTAAAGCAGAGTACTAAAATAAAATGCCATTAAATTATTGAAATCCACCGTCAATCGTAATCACAGCAAAATTAATACCCCCATTTAACAATAATTCATCGTCTACCATTTCATTAATCGTTGAATCGATTCAACCACGTAGTAATAACAATTAATTTGTGGAGACTGACCCATTGCAAAATGACAAATATTTATACGTGACGTTTACGATGTGCGCGGATAATTGGATGCTCGATTGTTCCACGATCTGCAGCCTGTTACCACTTCCTGCATAAATGCAAATATACCCATATTTCCGCCCCTCCCCCCTGCTCCTCACCGATTTTGGCACACAGCGTTGACCACAATCACGAATAATATATTCAAGTAAATGAGGGAGAAAAAGAGGCGAATTTGTAGGACTGGCAGAGATTATTGGAGACAAATAAACGTAACGCGCTCAAGTGTAAATACGCTTGAGCAAATTGGCTCTCCTGAAAAACTGTATGTTCCACGTCAGAATATTTGATAGAGTGGAACAGATTGACTTGAGGGAAATTAACCAACTTGATAAAAGGAAATTTAACATCTTTCACAAAAATTAAATTTTTGTCGTGATCATCAGAAATATCCCTAGAAGAATTGCAACTGTTGACAGGAAAAATTATAAGTGTTTATTGGACATTGACTTGATAAAACCGGAACCTCGATAATTCTCTGTAGAACAAATGTATTTACCCGAAAGACATATAAATGTCTCACAACTACAATTACTACTACGAAAATTATCATGTTTTGGTGGAAACTTTCTTTTTGTCCACAAGTAAATTGATTCAACACCACAAAAAATCTCTTCAGGGAAACATAATTTTTCGGCAGAACTTTTTTTTTCTCAGTGTATCATTGACGGAATTTCAAATCTAAAAAATGTCGGAAAATAAACGTCTGAAATTTTTCAGGGGAAAAAATATTTGGATCCTTTGCAGGCATAAGTTGTATTTGAAATTGTTCATTTTCAACTTTTCTCACTTCACATTTGTTTGCGTATTATATTGGAAGTGTAGCAAATCAAGTGGGACTCCACCCCCACGCCCGACAGTTTGACAAGAGACTTTAGTTAGTCTCGTAATTCAGGGGTAAACCATAAATTTAGACCCAACCTCGCACCGGCTAATTAGTTACGACACCGAAAAGGCTCCACTCCTACACGATCGAACTCATTTATTTGCGCATAATCGTTTCCCCGAATTTCTTCATTTTTTTCCTCTACTTTAATTGGATAAAAATGGGGGAACGAAATTCCCGGTATGAAGTCAGGAAATATCGTGGGTTTCAGATCAATATATCGGGAATACACCGCGAATAACTTCCTCCCTTCGGGTCGGGAAGTTAATTATCTGGAAAATGGCGGCAAATTTTGCTGGGCGAAAGGTAATCGTGAAACGAAATTGTAATTTAATGGGAAATTACAATGCATCCTTTGCGGAGGATATATTATGATTCATTGAGTAAAAAAAACACATCAATGGATGCAAATGGACGAAAAGTCAGGGGAATTTTCGGTTTCTCTGAAAATTCAAGGAAAACCCCAATTTTTTAGCCGCAGAAAACCGGAAATTCCCCAATTTAGATGAATTCCCAAGTGGAAATGAATATTCACTGCCAAATTCCCTTGAATTTTCTGGGGTCTCCTTGAAAATTCTTGAAATTCCAGGAATTTGTGAAGGAATTCCCTGAAAATTCAGAGGAATTTAAAATTCAAAGAGAGATTTCTCGGAATTTTCCTGATTTTTCATCAATTTTCCCGGAATAATTAATCTCAAATTTACACTTCCCACATATTCCAGTGGAAAGTTTTAATAGTGTACAGTAAAATTTCTACGGACCCCGAGGCTATTTTTTCTGTTTTATTTTATGTTTTATCGATTTTACCATTCCGGGTCTGGTAAAAAAAAATAATTCTCCGTCGCAGAAAAATTCCCACACATGTAATTCACTCCTCCCAATCCCGCAATTGTTCACCTTCTTAGAATAACTTTTCATTGAATAAATTACCCTCCCATCAAGTAAACATTCCCAACTCAGCGGTGAAAAATTCTCCACTCCGCACTTTTTTCCCAAATCTAGATTCCCCACCCCGATTACTTGACTTATTTTTCGTAATTTTTCTTCGACTTCTCCATGAAAAAAAATTGATAAATTCTCAACGATGCTAGGATCAGCATCATTCACAGAGCGCACAAAAAACATCTTTCAGTTTCGTAAGAATACGTAGAAAATCGTTGAAACGCGATATTCCGTGCCTCTGAGTTATTGTTTCAGGAATAAAAACCTCTTCCTTTTTTTTCTTTCACTCAATCACAGCGCCACGTGGAGAAAGAAAAATAATTGCCTTGCTATGATCATTGCGATATTTATTGGTTTTCTATTCTAGGACAATTCCTGGGAGAAATTTCCAATCATGATACCATTATAAAATTATTATTTTAAATAATAAAATAATAATTATACCGCCGTGTCATTACAATGTTCTTTATTATTTTATTAATAAACAATTATAAATTATTATATTATAATTATAATATAATTATTATTATATTATTGTTATATTATTATTATATCTTTAATAATAATAATTCATGTTTACTAATAAAATATAATAATATTTTAAAATGTAATTATAGTTTATCACTGAAACACCTCATTATGATATTACTCACAGCAATTGAATTCCGAAAATAATATCATGTACTCAATTCTAGCAAGACTATCCCCGCCAGAATTCATTATTTCTCATCCGCGAATTCCTCTGCTCTAGTCCACGTCCACTCATGGCAATCCAATATACCTGTGCATGGGTGAACCATTGAAAACATGATGAAAGCAGACCACCATTATCACTGAATTACCTATGCGTTGGATCAATAGACGGATAATCTGTAATACGATCTCGATACTCAGCATTGGCCTGACATCCCTCCTGTCATGCGTAAAGCTGCATTTTCTCGCTTTTTCTTGTCCCCTTTCCCTCGTCCCTTCATCTCACCCCTGTACCGTCCGCGAAACAATGGATTGGAGGATAAACTCAATTTTGTGTCATCGGGGAAGCGACCGTTTGCCGTTTAATAATATTTCAGCTCTTACGATTATGGAAATTCTTGGAGTTGATAAATTTTATTATTTATTGGGGGAATTATGCTGGGGGTAAATTAGTTTTGGTGAGGCTTGAGATTGGTGAATTGATTTGTGGACTTTTTTGAAACTTTATTATAAATTATATGAATTTAAAATGAAACATTTTCATATATTTTATTCATTTATTTGTAATAATACATTTTATAACAAAATCATTTTCAGAAATCTTCAATTATTTATTGAATAGTTCATCTCGAATATTTAAATTCCGAATTATTTCGTCAATCGCTAATTGAGTTCTAAAGATGGGCGAGCATCCAGCTAATCGAAAATCGTTTTATGAAATTTAGAATTATTTATTCAATAGTCTGTCTCGACAATGTAAATAACTCATTCCAGACATCGGCATAATCATAAATTCTACATAAAGTTAAATTTTGAATGAGTCAATTTTTGATATTATTCAACATTTTTTAAATTATTAAATTAATCATCAATTAAATATGAAAATTCCGAATTTTTTTATCAATCGGCAATTGAGTTCTGAAGATTGCCGATCTAACCTTCTAACGAACGGTTTCCTCAATAGTGAATTGACAATTAAAATTATCAATTATTTTATTATTTTTCAAATTTCGATGAAGATTAGCCAAATTAAATTATTTCTCGAGAAAAATTCCCTCAACAAAACTGAAATAACAGTCATCGATTATTAAATCGATTGACATTCCCTCAATATAACTGAAACAATAATTATCCAACTAATAATGATCCGTCGTGAAAGCAGAAATTTATCAGAATTTTCCACGAAGTGAAATTGAGGCAGCCCATAGCCTCGATACTACTACTTGTTGCGGCTGATCAGATACGGCAGTGCTCTCCTTTCTGGCCGCGCTAACACCGGAGACAGTGAGATCGAGAGCATCTCGGGGCATTGCGACAAAGTATACGTGGGTGTGGTGAT